AGCTACTAAACAGGTGGCCAAGCTAAGTGCCTGAAGGACCCCATCCCGTCACTGGAAGACCAGGCGCCTCAGTGAGAGACAAGGACTTTGCAGGGGGCCGATCTAGCGCCCGGGCTGGCTACAACACAAATGTTCATTCTTGCCTTATTTGAGATTCTTAGCTGCAATGGACAGCAAAACTAGGGTTGACCCCAGATGCTTCTCTCTGCCACAGTGCTTCCTGGACACAGCTTACAGCTGTAAGCCCAAAGCAGTGGGAGGAGAGGGCTGCCTTGGCACCATCAGCTGCCACAAATGTACCATGATGAAGGTGGAATGCTATTGCCATGCAAAGGCAAGTAAAGGGGCGCTTTGCTCCTACACACTAAGGCTCTGGCCATCACCACCACCACTTTGGCCCACCTGCTCCTTGGCACTCCGTGTAGCCAGTAAATGTGCTGCAGAAACACCTTGTCTCTGGGCAGATGGAAGGCTTAAGCAGGCTACAAAGTGGGCTTGCTTAGAGAACAAGTCAATTACAGTCCAAATCACAGTGTTTCCCCCACTCTCTCAGAGTTCCACTATGAAGTCCATTGCTATTTCCTCCCAGGGCCGGGTCAGGTCTGCCATTTGCTGAAGTAGCCTGGGACTCTTCCCTGGCCTTTTCTTCATTGCTGCGCACACCGTGCAGCTCTTGACATAACTGTCTATGACTTTTATCATCCCCGGACACCAAAAACTGCCTCCTTGCTAGGTGCAAGGTCTTTAAGAATCCAAAGTGGCTGGCTTGCTTAATGTCGTGGCTTCATTGCAAGACTTGGAACCTTAGGGTGTTAGGGACCTACAGCTTATCTCCCTTCCATGCCAGTCCTTCCCCTAACCATCAGGCTTCCCCCCTGGTCCTTGAACCATTGGTCAGACTGTAGCTCCCTCTTCATTTGCTGGGTCAATTCATTTGCAGGGTCTGAGGACCTTTTCTTGGCCTGTTGCCTTATAGTTACTTGTGCTGCTTTTGCGGGGAAGGGGATGAGTGCGTCGACCACCTCCTCCCAGCTGCTTTTGTATTGTGGCAGGCAGGACGGCATCAACCAGGAAGTTTTTCCCCCTTGGGATGTGCCATACTTCAGCTCAAAGTCAAACTGATTAAAGTACTGTGCCCATCGGACTTGCTTTGGGGAAATCTTTTGGGGAGTCCTTAGAGCTTCCAGGTTCTTATGGTCAGTCCACACCTCAAACAGCACTTTGCTCCCCTCAAGGAATTGGGGCCAAGTGAGTAGCGCCCATTTTACGGTGAAGGCCTCCTTCTCCCACACCGCCCAGTGCCTCTCTGTCTTGGTGAGCTTTTGGGATGTGTAGGCGCACGGCTGCAGCTTTCCCTATTTTTCTGGAGGAGGACCGCTCCCACCATGACATCGCTGGCATCCTCGGGGTTGGGGTGTTTGAGGACCGGCTCCTCAGTAAACAGTCTTTTTAGCTTTTCAAATGCCTCCTGGCACTCCATTGTCCACTTTAGGGGCTTGCTTGGGCATGGTTCCCTCTCCCTTTCCCTGTCTTTAACAGCTCAATAATTGGCGGTGCAATTTTAGCAAAGGAGGAGATGAATTGCTTGTAGAAGTTGGCAACCCCCAAAAAACTCTGTAGTTGTTTTCAGATGCGAGTAGCTTACCATTCTAGTATGGCTTTTACTTTCCCCGGGTCCATTTCCATTCCTTCACTTGACACTCGATAGCCCAGGTAATCTAGGCAAGTCTTATGAAATTCGCACTTAGACAGCTTGGCATATAGGTTCACGGCTAAGTGTTTCTTAAGTACCTGGCGCACCAACTTCACGTGCTCTTCCATGGTCTCGGTGAATATGAGAATGTCACTCAGGTACACTTGGACCCCTTTATACAGGTGCTCATGCAGCACCTTGTTGATTAGCTGCATGAATACGGCAGGGGCCCCCTGGAGGCCGAATGGCATTACTCTGAAATGGAAGCTTTCCAGCGGACAATTAAAGGCGGTCTTCTACTCATCTCCCTCCTTAATCCTCACCCTGTAGTATGCCTCCCTTAGGTCCAGCTTGATGAAGATTTCCCCCTTGGCTAGGTGCCCCAACACATCCTTCATCGGGGTGAGGGGATACATGTTCTCCACACACACCGTTTATCCCTCTATAATCTAGGCATAGCCTCAGCAACCCATCCTTTTTCTCCTTGAATAGCACTGGGTGGCTGGATAAATCCCTGGGCCAAGTTTTTATCAATGTAGTTTCTCAACTCCATCTCACTGGGGGTCATGGAGTACATCTTTGGCTTGGGGAGTTTCACCCTAGGTAGAATCTCTATTGCACAGTCAGTAGAGCGATGAGGGGGGAGGCAGAATTTCACATTCCTTCTTGCTGAATACCTCACTCAGGTCTCTGTATTCTTTAGGAATGAGCTGGGCCTCTTGCAGCTGGTCTAAGGCTGCTTTCAGCCACTCGGCTTTCCCTGCCTCTCCACTTCGCTGGTCAGTCACCTCCCCAGGGCCCCTCGGAGGGGGAGGGAGCCCTTTCCTCAGTTGCATCTTCCTCTTCCCTTTCTGCCACCATATGGATAGGCCCCACTTCTCCAACCAGGACAGCCCCAGGATCACCGCCTCCATCATTTTGGGGGCTACTATGAATTGGATGACTTCCCGGTGCTAGCCTATCTCCAATCTCACAGGCTGAGTCAGGTGCATTGCGGGAGAGCCTTCTATTAGGGACCCATCCACCTGCTAAAATCACATGGTTTGGGACAGCTTCCTAGCTCATATTCCCATCTTCAGCACCGCGGACAGGTTTATTAAGCACCGGGTGCAGCCTGAGTCTATGAGTACTTCAAACTCCCCCTGGGCTCCCGTTTTGGGTGTTACTAACTTCACTGGGACAGAAAAGGGCTGGATGGCTCCACTTACCATCAGTTCACTCTCCCCTTCATTGTCACTCTCATATGGGTTGCTGGCCTCCTCCGGTTGGATATCACTCCCCCTTGCTGCAAGGGGGAGAGACTTCCACAACCTGGCATGCCACCCTTGTCTTTTCCTTCCCCTTCCATTGTGGCTTCTTCGGCTTGGCAGGAGCAGGTGACTGGCCTCCAGCTTGCGGGGTGGGAGCCAGGCACTCTTCTGCTCTGTGCCCCTGCTAGCCACTTTGGAAACATTGGATGGCTCTGTGGGCATGAGGGTGTGAGGGTGCAGTCATTGGCCTCTGTTCTGGCTGGCACCACTCCTGACTCTTTTTTGGTTTCAGCTCAGAGGTGTCATGCTGCTCGTATTCTACTCTTTTTAGAGGAAATATTCTGCCTTTTTAATATTTCCTAGGCTATTTCAATTTTCTAGGAGAGGGGTGGGTGCTAACTTCCTACAGTGGTATACACACTCAGAAATCTGCTAGCATTAAATGTACAAGGATAGAGGACATTTTAAGAAAAAAAAGAGCCTTCAAAGTCAATAGGTGACCCAAGTGTAATATTGGCCATCTTCTTTAACATATCCCATGCTATGCAGTCCCTCTGTGCTATGAAGCAAGAAATCCTTTTGTAGGAAGAAAATGTAAATGCAAAATCAATTATCCCCACAAGTTACTACCCTCACAATCTGCTGCTCCCAATCTTCTGCAAGTATTTCCTGGAGGTTCACTCAGTGGGGTTTCTCTGAGGTGTAGTTAGCCTATAAATGCATTTTAAATACATGGAACATCAACAAGAAATACACATAATCAATGAAATCATACAAAACAATACCCAAATGTTCACCATCCCACTGTTCCATTAAGCTAATATAGCATCAGTCCTAGGACAAAGTCAATCAAATATAAGGCAATGTAGCAATCCCAATCTTGTTGTAGCTGAAATGGTGATCAGTCTGTTGAGCATCTGTAGTGATCAGCAGGAAAAGTGTAACCAGGTTCATTGTTGTATAGTTTTCAGTCGTGTGGAGAAGTCTTCTGAAAGTGGCTGGAGTTTCTCCACATACGTTCCTATTAAAATCTACTCAATCAAATGACAATCATTAGTCATTAGTTCTAGTGATCCAAGGTTCTATTAGCACTCACCACACATCTATTGGTATTTCCACTCAGGTTCCATTTTGATGTTATTGGGTATTTACTGTTCTGTTGCTATAGCTCTCAGTTGTGTCCACCAGCAGGAAAACAGGTTCTTCCTTCCACACATGAGATATGCAAACTTTCTCCCCTGGGGGTTTTATTTGCATAGACTAGGTGAGGTGCTTGGCTTCCCTTGCATGAATGACCCGTGGTCAGACAGGAGACAAATCAGCTGTTAAAAAAAAAACTTACCAAAAATTATAAATGCCATAACTGACTTGGGTTGTATCCAGCCTCAGAATCTGGTAAGACACCTGGACGTGAGCCTGTTGCCACAGGTGCCAGAGAAGTCACAGGTACAGTGAGTGCAAGGCACAGCTCACTAGAATCTGAAGTGTCCACCTTCCTTTTGCCACAATTTCACATATTCCTATTATCTTGTTGGTAAAATACCTGTAAATCACAAGTGTCAAACTCATGGTGTCATGTTCCTGTCATGTGATGTTTCGTGACGTTTTCCTGATTCCAGGAGCTGGGGTGGGTATGACCTGCATGTGATGCATCTGGCCCAGTTTGACACCCCTGCTGTAAATGGTTCAATGTCAAAGTCCAAAAAGATCAATTCACAATGTTAGGGATGTAAAAGAATTGCAAAATTAGTTGAACTTAACTAGCCATAGTTGGCCCTTGAATCATGTTAGGCTTAAGTACATAATCATGCAATGTAAGACAAAGCTGCTAGGCAGACTTTTCCTCTCCTCTGACAAAAACAAATCAGGACAGATTGGCATATCAGCATAACTACAGAGCAGGCTCCCATACAGTGATCGAAATATACTGTATGTCAGCGTTCCAGTGTGTCTAAGTCTTTGTGTGTCCTCGAGGTAACTGTTGCAACTGTTAAGTGTCTCTGATCCCTCCAGATATGAATTTTAAATTGTTAAGAGTTAGAGACACTGAGAGAAAATGTCTTCTCCCAGTCTGGTCTGGCCAACTAGACTGGATGAGGAACAGAGTTCAATTTTCTTTCCTCTCTGTGCTTTTAAGAAAAAACCAAGGTTATTAGTGAATGTTTTAAGTTCATTTACAAGAAAAGTTTCATCCTTGCATTTACTGTGTGTTTAAATGATTTTACCTGTTCATCCTTTTCCTGAAGCATGTGAATCCAGTTTTTTCCTTTCTCATCTGTTGTGTCTCCATTTTGTTGAAACTGATTTATCTGTTCAGTAACTGCAATACTGATGTGTTATTTTCTTTTTTAAAAAAATTTAAAACAAACTTTATTTACAAAAGATTAAAAAGATATAAACATACAAATATACAGAAATAAAAAACAGTAAATATACAAATAGAATGGTAAACATATTTCTTTTTATTACATTTGATATTAGGTTTGATAGTTCATAATAAACAATAATAATTAATAATTGGCAAGTATTCCTTGTCTCTTATAGATAGCATATTAATTAATAAATAACACTTGTTACTCTGCTATTACTATTGGATTATAACTGTATTATTTAATCAATAAAACTTTCATAATGTTTATGTAATAGAAGAGAAGCTTGAAACCATTATTTTATACATTCAATATATACAACTATATATAATATGTTTCCTGGGTTGATTTATTCTGTACACTCTTTTTCTTGTGCTCTACCCAGCTGTACCATTTATCCCAGACCAGGAAAAACTCTGAATCATCCTTCCTATTTAATTTGAGCGTGAGCCTCTCCATTTCGGCACATTCATAATTTTTTTGAATAATAATGTGTATCGGTGGTACGTTGGGCCTTTTCCAATATTGCGCCAAAGAAATTCGCGCCACTGTTAGTAAGTGGATGATCAGGTATCTCACTTTGGGAGAATAGTCCCCTTTAATCATCCCCAGGAGGAACAGTTCCGGTTTCCACTCCAGTCTGCATTCAATCATTTCTTCTATCCATATTCTTATCCTTGTCCAATATTTTTTAATCTCAGGGCATGTCCACCAAAGGTGGAAATAGGTACAGAATTTCTCTTTACATTTCCAACAGCTTGGGTTTGCTGTTGGATATATTTTAGCTAATCTAGAGAATGCCAGATGCCATCTATATATCATTTCATATAGATTTTCCTTGTATGGTATTGATTTTGTTAATGTAAGATTCCTTTGCCAGATTTCCTCCCAGTCGTCCAGATCTATATTGTAACCGAAGTTTTTTTCCCAGGCTAGCATTGGTCCTTTCACAATTTCCTCAGCCAATTTGTGTTCTAATAGGTAATTATATAATTTAGATATATTTTTCTCCGGACCCAGGAGTATTTTATCTAATTGAGTGTCTTTCATTTCAAATCCATATTCTTTTTTTTTTATAAAACAAGTTTTATTGGTTTTAAAGACAAACAAAACATAAGACATCAAAGTATAAAACCTCCTTTCTCAAAAATTACTTATAAGTTTTAACAAGGCAAATAAAGCATTATTTTTTAAGGCATAGTTCCATATTATCACATTTCCATTTAAACATGTATATATCTTTTCCAAATTTCTCATTGTTTCTCCCTTCACTTTTATTCAATTATATTTCTTTCTATCAAGGTTTTGTTAATTCTCAATCAAGCATAAACACACAAAATACAAAACATAAAACAAGACATAAAAAGATAAAACCTCCTTAATTATCATTTATACATGTCTTTTCCAAATTTCTCTCCCTTTAGTTTTATTCTTCCAAGGTTTTATTAATTCACAATCAAAACATAGTTAACCAAAATACAAAACATAAAACATAAAACTTCTTTTGAAAAGTGGCTCAGCCCCGGGTTACATCTTTTTTTACAGACCTAAATCAAGTTCATGCTCACCTTATATACCATTCATATCTTATTAACCATTCTATATTTTCTATATAACTTCTCCCTTCTTTTCACTCTCTTAATTATATTTTGTTTATTTCATCTTATTTCAAAATCATTATGTTTGTATCTTTTGTCCGTTCTTTTCCAATCATCTATTTATCTTTTCTCTTTAGCAAAGAATTTATCCTGTAATCACTTTTAAGGTGTGACGCCTTTCCCTAAAGTAACACTTAAAATAATACATAAGTTCTATCCTGATTCTGCTTAGTACATTCTACATATTGCATTTTGAAAAAAAAGAATAATAAACTTATAATATAGTTAAGTATATAATTTCCATTCTAATTCTAATTAATAGTATAACTAAGCATTAATCATTTTACACATTCTCTTTGATATTTTATTAAATATTGAAATCTATCATTATAAAACATTTTAATATTTTAATATTTTGTTAAATCTTATAATATTCCAATAGACTATTTCAAATGCAAATACTACAATACTATCTTATGTACTCTTGCAGAATCTTTCTTAAATTATACACTGTCCTTTATCCTTTATCTCTAAAAAAGATATCTTGTTTCAGACCGTGGCTTTTTTTTCCCTTTTTCCCTCCCTTTCTTCTCCAGTCTGATCTTTTTGCCCCCCCTCTCCTAACCTCCACCTTTTTGGCTTCCCCTCTCTGTTGTAATTCTCTTTTCAATTGCTTTCTAACATTATACCTTTTTTTCACCTTATTTTTCTTTTTCTTGGTTGTTTTATTGAATCTTAAATTCTCATTTTTCCTTCCTCTCTTCCTATTTTCTTTCTTAATCGAACTTTTTTGTCCATTAAAAATGGCTTCCTTTTCTTCTTCTCCTTCTCCTTCTTCCTCAAGTATTTGCTGGTACGTAGAAACTGCCATTTCTAAAAAGTGGAAGACAGCTCCCAATGAATTCTTGCCATTTTGTTCTCTTTCTTTTAATTTTTCATATTCCATTTTTAGTTGATCCACAGATGGTGCCATTGTAAATTTTTAAGAACAACCCAGATGTTTTTAATCTTAAAGTAATTTGCAAATGACATTTTCAAATCCATATTCTTTTACATCCCTATTATATCTCATTTTTATTTGAAAGTAGGACCAATTGTCAATAATTATTTCTTGGGTTTCTAACTCCTGAATCAATTTAAGCTTTTCCTCACTGTCTAGAATTTGGTGGTATTTGAGCTTTGTGCTAATATCCATTGTGTTGGGATGGAACATCACCTCCATTGTTGAAAGCCTTCTCAGAATTTTAGTGTAGTGGTTCCTTCTGATATCTGTCCAAATTTCAATCAGAGATTTACGTAGAGTGTGTCTGGAAAAATATGAATGGCTTTTATTGTTTGGGTTCCACAAAAATGCATGCCCCACCCTATTTGTAAATCATGGCCCTCAAGTGTTAAGATTCTTTTGTTTCCCAATTTAATCTAATCCTTTATCCACAGTAGTGCCGTCGCTTTGTAATAGTTCTCCCAGGCAGGAGGTCCAAAGCCACCTCTACTTTTATTGTCTTGTAGATAGATTTTTTTTATTCTCATTTTTTTCCCTGCCCAAATGAATTTCATAACAATTTTGTCCAAGTCTTTAAATAATTTTTATCTAGTAATATCGGAATTGTTTGAAATAAATACAAAATTTTGGGTAGGACATTCATCTTGATCGTTGCTATTCTACCTAATAATGAGATTTGTATTTTGCTCCAATTTTCCAGATCCTTTCCAATTTGTTGCAATAATTTGATATAGTTGTCCTCCCTCAGGGTTGATGGTCTAGGTCTTAGCAAAATGCCTAAATATTCGATCTTATTCACAATTTGCAATCCCATCATTTCCTCTAGTTCTTTTTGTTTACTGTTTGTTAAGTTTTTAACTAGCATCTTGGTCTTTTCCTTATTAATTTTTAATCCTGCCAATTTGCCAAATTTATCTATTTCACTTAATAATACTGGTCCCAAATCTATTGGTTCTTCTATGACAAATACCATGTCATCCGCAAATGCTTGTAATTTGTACTCTTGACTTTTAATTTTTGTTCCATTAATTTCTTTGTTTGATCTAATTCTGTCCAATAATGTTTCTAGAATTGTTATAAAAAGCAGAGGTGACAGTGGGCATCCCTGCCTGACACCCTTCTTTATCTCAAATGGTTCGGTAGCTTCTCCATTTATCAGTACATTTGCCTTTTGTGTGGCATAAATTGTGTTGAAATGATTTTACCTGTTCATCCTTCCCCTGAAACACGTGAATCCAGTTTTTTCCTTTCTCATTTGTTGTGTCTCCATTTTGTTGAAACTGATTTACCTGTTTAGTAACTGCAATACTGTTATTTTCTTCCACCTCAAACCATGCCTGCAAGCTATCTACCCCCCCCCCCCCCGCCCCAACAATCTCTAATCCTTTTACAAAGCCTTTCCTGGTAGAATTACCAGTGAAGAGGGGAGGGGACATTTGTTCTTTGTCTTTCAGCCTTGCCACATATGGAAGCAGATGCTGCTCCCTAGAGACATTCCATCCATTGGAGCCAAAGAACTGTGTTTGGATCCAGCCTCCACTGAAATTCATTACAGCAATAAGAGTGGGGCAGACCTTCCCAAGCCTGACTGACCACCCATACCACCAGGCCAAGCCTATGCCACCCAGAGACATGAAGGAACGGACCCTGAGATGGACCAGTAAAAGATTAAAAGACTCTTTTCAATCTCCAGAAGACAATTAGAAAGATTATGGGGGGAGGGTGGAAATTCATTGTAATTGGAAATTCATTGTAATTGGAAATTCATTGTAATGTTTTCTTTCTTTGTATCATTTATATTGTAATCAGTCTAATGTACTAATGTAAGGATTGTATTTGAGAGTGGCTGGCCCAGCGAGTTCTGAACACCTTGGACTTCTGTCTGGTGGGAGGGAAAATTGTCCGGCATGTTTGTATTGTCTGTATTGTAAAACTAGCTGCATACCCAAGCACATACACAGAGACACACCATTCAGAATTAGATAGAGGTTACCCCTTTCACCTACCTCCACACAAAGCTGCTCCTAGCTTCCTTTTTTTAAAAAATGTGTTTTTGTTCTGGTTTTTTTTTCCTGCTACTCTGAGGCACTAAGGCCTAAGCAAAACTCCCTGCTAATTCCATGGGGGAGGGGGCATCCCCCTCAGGAAATTCCTGAAGAGATAGCAGAAAAGAGATCTCCAAACCCCAAGTCCTGACTGTGACTCACAAATGATGCTGCCCAGTAAAGCAGGATATGTTGTACTGGTGGTCTCATGAGTAGAAGTCCCAGGGCTCATTGTGTGTAACTTTAAAAATACTAAATAGCCTGGATTGCACACTGGCTAACCTCAATTTGGCCTCACAAACCCTGGAAGCTAAGAGCTAGGCAGGTAGTAACCATAACCTTGGAAATGGGCAGCCTGTAATTTAAAGGCTGTGGAGAATGTAGGGGCTTGTGCTTACAACCTGACTGTAAGCTCATTAAAAAGTACATCGAACATCTGAAAATGAATTGGCATGAAAAATTGGATACAGCCCCCCCCCCCCCCCCCCCCCCCAAAAAAAAAAAAAAAAAAAACACACACACCCCCTCCCAGGCCGCTAGACCTTCATGGTTGAAAGCTTTTTGGGAGCCACTGAAGGAATCCTTTTCTGTTGCCTCTTTTTCAATGTGTTAGGCCTGGATTCCCCAATGGGTGTTAAGGAAAACAAACTAAACAGAATGTGCAGCGAAGTCAGATAGGAAGACAGGTAAATGTGTGAGATAAGCCTTCTCGTTAACACGCAGTAAAAATACAGATACGCTTGTGCTATCAAAATTATAATTTATTCCATTTAAGAATTATAGCATAGTCATAATAAACAGTCCAGTAGTCATATGTCATATCAGTCAAGTCTTGTCAGGGATACTCTAATTGCAAAGTCCGTGTTGAATAGCCAGTGTCAGTACACATATAATAAATCTGTCCAAAACTTATCTTCTCTCCGTTGAGAAATATCTTCAAAGTAATCCAACACTTCTTCTCCTCCCCAATCCAGCAAGAACGCAGTCTTCAATAAGCCAGCCAGTAAGAGCCAGAGAGTGCCTTGCTGCTTATATAGTACTTTTACAGCTGCACCCTTAATTACATTCCTTTAGCTTAAAGTCACATACACTTTATGTGACAAACCATGATTCATCATTTTATTATCTTTACCCAAAACAGTTAGGGTAAAACAATGTTATCCCTAACACAATGCCTTTCCCTTTGCATCAGAAAAATTAAAAGCACCCATCAAGTCTCCTTGAACTGATCACCTTTTAATCTTTTGTCAAAACACTCACGTGTTTTGAAAAAAAAGAGGGATTGTAGGAAGTTAGCACCCACCCCTCTCCTAGAAAATTGAAATATCCTGGGAAATATTAAAAAGGCAGAATATTTCCTCTAAAAAGAGTAGAAACTCAGAAGCAGAAACTCACCTCAGAAGCAGAAGCTCACCCCCACCTTTGTTAATCTCACCCCCACCTTTGTTAATGGGTGGGCCATTAAGGCCTGGGCCATAATACATAACAAAGATCTCCAGGTAAAGGTATAGCAATTGCTCAAAAGCCCTTTCAGTGCATCATCCAGCAAGGCTCAACCAAGCCTGGAACTCAGGACAGCCTACAGAGTTGCCCCTGCATGGCCCCATGGGGGTCTGACAACCAATTAGAATACAAGCTCCAATTCAAATCCCAACAAAGTTTATAAAACCCAGGCACTCTCAGCATATCAGTCCCTTTCTTGATCTCCTCCTTCACCTTGAAGCATGTGATCATCCTTCCTTTTCATTCTGGAGCTCCAGGCCATGTGGTCCTGTCCACCATTAAACCTTCCAAACAGCCTCCATGTTTCCAGTGTCTTTTTGCCCACTTGGAACTGAACCCAGAAGGATATTTCTTCCAACAATACACTGGAATACTATGAAGTACACCCAGAGAAGTAAATGGCGTTGATCTTCCTATATGCACAGAAGGCCTTCGACAACGTGAGCTGGCAGTTCATGTTGGCACAACTAAAAGAAATGGACTTTGGGGAGAGATTTATTAAAATGGTTGCAGCAATATATCATAAACAAGCTGCAAAAGTGAGAAGGCGGAGCTTCGTCGCTGCGATACAGCTGCAATCTCGGGGCTCTGAGATCGCAGCTGATATCCCCGCTCCTGGTCGGTCCTAACGGACCTAAACCGTCCCGTAGAGACGGTGACAGTAAGGGGCGCGTTCTGTAGATCCCAGGGACATCGCAAGTCCCTGGTTGATCCAGAAGAAGCCCTTTTACCATTGGCGGAGAGGCAGCCATCAAGCTGCTGAAGTTGGGACAGCTCCGGAAGGAAGAGACAGAAAGAGAAAGTGTATCGGCTGGTGAGGATTCTTCTTTTTTACTTGGGACTTAAGGACACCCTAAAATGAGAAGAAATCTGTAAAATTCTTGACAAAATTTGACTTAGCGGCAATTTTTTCTTTAAGAATGTCAAAATGAGGCTTGGCTTTTTATTTTTACTTTTTTTTTCTCTTCACTGAACTTCTATTGCGATCTAGTTAATCAGACTGGTTTTTTCTTTTATATTTACTTGCTTTCTTTTCCCCTTTTTGACTGTTTATATTATATAAAATAGAGGCTCCCTTTAGTATCTTTTTTTAAAAAATATACATAAACATATATATATACTTTTTCTTTTTTTTAGGCTTTTTTAGGGGGAAAGAAGGGGGAGAGGTTTTAAGAAATTTTGCAACACTGCCAACTAGAGGCTTGAAAATATTTTATTTGAAGTTGAGAGCTGGGAAAAAAAACTCTTTTCAAGGCTACTGGAAGTGATAAGATAGAGGGAAGAGCACTGGAGGATGTTTATACAGGTGCTCTTTGGGACTTCTATTATCAATTGAATATTTGAAGCTTGGCCTTGAAATTTGTGGAGAAGCCAAATAAGAGCCTTGGATAAATAAAAGGCAGTGTGTGCTTTCATTTTTTATTTTTTATTAACTGGTTTATCCCTCCCCTCTAACCCCACAATATTTTGTAATATTGGTATACTTATTTTTTATTTTACCTTTTTTTTTTTAAAGGAGAAGCCTCAGAATATTTGTTTTTCGTTTTTATTGTATTTTTATTGGGATATTTGCCTCTTTATTTCTACTTTTGACTTATTTTTATGGCTATTTTCCATTTTTTGAGGTCTTTTAATTGGATTAAGGTGAGAAGAACCTGAAGAACTCCTTTTTTTGCTTATTACTTTTTAATATTGTTGGGTTTTATTTTGTCTTTTTTTCTCTTTATTTTTAATTTTTACTTTTGAATTATAATTGAGTATTTCACAGCTGGATTAAGGTCTTGAAGAACCTGAAGAATTTCTCTTTCCTAATTTTGGGCTTTTTACTTTTTACTGGTTTTTTTTTTCTTTTTGGTGTTTTCTTTTTTCCTAATTGGATTACAATTGGCTACCTTATTAACTGGATTAAAAGAGCCAGAAGACTCTGAGCCACGGAATGAGTAAGAAAATTTTACCTTTGGGCATTTCAACTTCTGCTCCTGTCTCCCCATCAACTGGAGGACGACTTTCAATAATGGCGAAGCAAGATAAAGCACAAGTGGATTTAACGACGGTTATGCAAGGAATACAAGAACTAAAAATGAGTATGGAACAAAGAATGGAGAGTATTGACCAAAGAATTGGGAAGATTGATGAAAAATTTGAAAATGTTCAACAGATGATGGTGAAACATGATGAGAGAATCCAAAAAATAGAAGAGAAAGATAAGCAAAGAGATGACACAATTGGAAATATTGATAGCAGATTAACAACGGTTGAACAAGAAAAAAGTGGGATGTTGAAGTGGGAGATGGACAGGTCAGAATTTTACCTTAGATTCCAAAATATTGAGGAGGAAAAAGGACAAAATTTGGCTGCAGTAATGATTGAAATCTTGGCTGGAGCCTTGGAAATAACAGAGGAAAAGATGATGGATGGAGTAGATGAGATATATCGAGTCTTCACAAGATATGCGATGAGGAACCAATTACCAAGAGAGGTCCATGTCAGATTCACCAAAAAAACTATTAAAACTCAAATATTACAAGTGGCAAGAGAGAAGGTGTTGAAATACAAAGACAAAGAGATTGTGGTTTTAAAACAAGTACCCAGAAAAGTGAGAGAGATTAGAAGAGAATATTGATTTTTGACCAAAATACTATTGAAAAAAGAGGTGAATTATAGATGGCTGATTCCAGAAGGATTAATGTTTACATGGCAAGAACAGAGACACAGAATTGATTCAATTGAGAAAGCAGAAACATTCTACAAAGAATTTTTTGAAAGAAGAGAAATGGAGATAGAAAAAGAGAACATTTTAACTGAATTTGAAGAGGACCAAATGGGAACGGGAAAAGAAGAAGGCGCAATAGGTGGACAAGTGGAGACCAAAGAACAACGTGAAGTAAGATCCATGAGAGCTGTTAGACCTAAATATAAAGCATAACCATGGAGGAAAAAAAACTGATTTCCATGAATATAAATGGACTGAATTCAGCTACCAAAAGAAGAAAAACTTTTCACAAATTAGAGAAGCTAAAATTTGATATAATTTATTTATTTTTTATTTATTTATTTATTTGATTTGCCAATTGTTTACAAGATAATAAGTATAAGTGTATACATAGTTGTGAATACATGAAATGGGTACATATAAGAAAAATAAAAGAAGAATAAGAGAAACAATAGGACAGGGACGGTAGGCACGTTGGTGCGCTTATGCACGCCCCCTACAGACCTCTTAGGAAAGGGGTGAGGTCAATAGTAGACAGTCTAAGGTTAAAGTTTTTGGGGTTTGGGGAAGAAACTACAGAGTCAGGTAGAGTATTCCAGACATTGACCACTCTATTGCTGAAGTCGTATTTCCTGCAATCAAGTTTGGTGCGGTTAACTTTGAGTTTGTATCTATTGTGTGCTCTTGTGTTGTTATGGTTGAAGCTGAAGTATTCATTGACAGGTAGGACATTGCAATGTATGATTTTATATACCATGCTTAAGTCAGACCGAAGACGGCGTAATTCAAGGTTTTCTAGTTCTAGAATTTCAAGTCTGGTGGCATAAGGTATTCTACAACGAGTAGAGGAGTGGAGAACTCTTCTTGTGAAATATTTCTGGACTTTCTCAATTGTGCTAATATCAGATACGTAATGTGGGTTCCAGACTGATGAACTGTATTCGAGTATTGGTCTAGCAAATGTTTTGTATGCTCTGGTTAGTAGTGTGATATTACCAGAGAAAAAGCTACGTAGGATTAGGTTAACAACTCTTAATGCCTTTTTGGCTATGTAGTTGCAGTGGGCTCTAGCACTTAGATCATTAGAGGTGAGTATTCCAAGGTCCTTTACAGAGCTTGGGTCATCAACAAGATCTTGACTATTCAGCTTGTATTTTATTTTCTGATTTTTTTTGCCAATATGTAAGACAGAGCATTTATTTGTTGAGATTTGAAGTTGCCATTTGTTTGACCATTCTGATACATAGTCAAGATCTTTTTGTAGGGTAGCAGTGTTGTCTGTGGTATTGAACAGCTTTACATCATCAGCGAAAAGAACGCAATTGCTCTTAATATGATCACAGAGGTCATTTATGTAGAGTATGAAGAGAGTTGGTCCTAGAACACTGCCTTGGGGGACACCACTATTGACAGGTACAGAATTTGATAGGACGCTCCCAATTTTGACCATTTGTTGTCTGTTTGCCAGGAATGCTTCTATCCAGTTATTCAGTTGTCCAGAGATACCATAGGATTTTATTTTTAGGAGTAGTTTGTCGTGTACCACTGAATCAAAGGCTTTACAGAAGTCTATGTAGATTGCGTCTATTGCTTTGCCCTGGTCGAGTTGTGTCGTCCATATGTTTTTGCAGTGTAAGAGTTGCAGATTACAGGATAGTTTTTTCTGAAACCAAATTGTTTATTGGAGAGTAGGTTGTTTGTCTCTAAGTGGAGGATGATGGATTGGTTAATAATTGATTCCATGACTTTACAGGTGACGCAGCATAAGGAGATTGGCCTGTAATTTTCAACTAGGCTTGGGTCTCCCTTTTTGAAGATGGGGATGACTGTGGCTTGTGACCATAGGTTAGGCAAGGAGCTGGTCCTGAAAGATTTTTCAAAGATTATGCTTAGAGGTTTGGCTATGGCAGTGGATAGCTTTTTTAAGAAGTAGGCACATATTCCATCCGGTCCAATAGATAGAGATGGTTTTAGATTGCGTAGTGCTTTTTCAACATTGTCTTCTGTAAAATCGATATGTATTAGATCATTGTTGTTATCTGTGGTACGGCTAGGAAATACTGGGCATGATCCATTGCTGTTTACAAATACTGAGCCGAAGAATGTGTTAAAGATGTTGGCTTTAATGGTGTCGTCGTTGCAGTCTTTACCATCAGGTCCTATCAAGGGAGGGATGGACCTTGAGTCTTTTAGTTTGTTGTTTACAAAATTGTAAAAAGCACGGGTGGAATTGGTGCTTAGAAGGTTTTCCTCTTGTTTAATGTGATAATTGGTGCATTCGGTCTTTATCTGGTGGCATAGATTTTTGTATCGGTTTTTGAAATTGGCAACGTGACCAGATTTGTTTTTCCGCCAGAGTGATCTCTTTTTGGATTGAAGTTTACTTATTGATATGGGTAATCTGCTTTTTTGTTTTGTTTTGGGAGTTGTTGTTGGAACATATAGTTTGATGACTCTTTTGACTTCAAGTAAAAATATGTTGTAATGGTCTTCAACAGTATTGCATCCAGTGAATAGAGATTGCCAATCAAGGGATGAGAGATCGTTGTCTATAAGATCATAGTTGCCTTTTTTGAAGTTACAATTGGGGATTACATCATTGTGGTGATTTTTGTGTGGACGTATGTTGAGACAAAAGTCAATCATATTGTGGTCACTGCTGGAAAAGGGTTCTTTAGTTTGTATTCCGTAAATTAAATTCAAACTATTGCAGAAGATGAGATCGAGGCAGTTGTTTAGTCTAGTGTTGTTGGTTACTAGTTGTTCCAGTCCCAGATTTGTAATAGCATTGTAGAAGGTTGTGTGTATGATTTCAGTTGTACATTCATTTAGGGTCCAGTCAATATGAGGTAGATTGAAATCACCAAGAAAGATAAAAGGGTATGGGCAGGATGCAGCCCATGTTAGTAATGTATTTAACTTGTTTACATGTTCGATGTCATAATCAGGTGCTCTGTAACATAGTAAGAATCGAATTGTGATATTTAAGGATAGTTCACAGATGATGGTCTCAGGAAGAGCAAGCTCCTGGGTAACTTGGATATTTTTTAGATGTAAGGATTTTTTATAGAAGATAGCAACACCACCTCCTCTACGAATTTCACGATCTGATCGGTAAACATGATAGTCTCTTACTGTGGTAATGGAGTCAGGGAGAGATGCATTGAGCCATGTTTCACAGACAAATATAATGTCGAATTTAGCCATATTTAGTAGGAGGAAAAATTCAGGTATTTTATTCACAAGGCTTCTTGCATTGAGTAGTTTGCATTTAAGGCCAGTAGTAGTTGGAATTGAGGTAGTTAGGGGTGTGCATGCCTAGTCTTGGGTGATGGTGGATCGGTTGAGGTAGGGTTGTGGTTGAGGGTTAAAGCTGAGTTGCGGGTTGTGTGGCTTACTTTTGATACAGTCAACATGGTAGTTAATGTACAGGTCCTTCTCTCCATTGTCTAGACTTTTTTGAGTTCAGTGCGGAGTACACGGGAGCGGGCACGTTGCTGTATGGTTAGGTCAGGGCGACAACGGAGGTTCTTATGGTTGGTGTTGGTTTTGGCGAGTGAATTTATAGTCTAAATGAATTTACGTTTGCTTGATTCATTTTTGCAAATGACCCTGCACAAGCGTGGGGCCACAGAGCCGTCTCTGTTTTTGAGCTCTCGGCCAATGCAGGAAATGTCAAGTATTTCATCAGCGGAGATGGTTGATGCTTGATAATCACTGATGATGTTTCGGACAGTTGTGATGTCATCATTGTCATTGATGTCCTCTAGACCAAATAAGATGGCGTTTGGACGTTTCCGTTCACGCTCAACGGCTTCTCTGATGAGGATTGGGATATCAATATTTGTCTGGGTTGTGTTTATTTGTGGATTGGGTTTTGGATTGGGTTGTGGTTGTTGGGTAGAGATGTGGTTTGTAGCTATTGGGTGTTCAGGTTTTTGCATTGTGTCTTTTTTTTCAAGGTTGGATATTCTTTCTTTTAAGGCGTCCAGGGATGCTACTATGGTGTTAAGGGATGTTTCAATGGTTTCAATGGTATCAACTCTTTCAGACAGATCCAGTTTGGGTCTGCATGATTTGCAGAGATATGGAAACTCATTGGATGATTCTAGGTATTGAATCATTTGCTCAGGTAATCCCAAGCAGTCATGATGAGCGTATTTTTTACACAGAGAACATTTGATGGAGTTTTCATTATCCTTTAGATTTTTGTAGCATTTAAGGCATGTGCAGGAGTCTTGTGGTTCATTGGTGGGGATTATCTTCTCTTTAGGTTGTGGTTTGGCATTGGATTTTCTTTTTGGCATGGTAGGTTTGTTAAGATAGTACGTTGATTGAATTAATTAAAGGAACAATTTTGGGTAATCTATATAGCCAATATCACACCAAACAATCAATTGCAGTAATCTGTCTAGTCAGATAATATTCCTGAGCAACAATCAGCCTAATCAATTAATTACTCTAATCACTAATCAATTAATTACACTAATCATTAATCACACTGTTCATTTAAATTCACTAAATCATTGATTTTACTATTCAATTAAATTACATGAATCTTGATCTTTTAAACTAGTCAGTAATCACACTATTTGCACTAAACACTCTAATCACACTAATAAATTAAAACAATAAATCAATTAAACCATTAATAAAATATTTTATAGAAATTGATTATCTAATCGTTGATATAGGTGATGAGGTAGAAAAGTTGTAAGTTTTGAGGTAATGAATTAATCAGTGTTTGATTAAAGTAATGAGGTAGTATTAAGAGTCTGCAAGGAAAGGGTTAATTGTTTTACTAGCAGCTGTAGTTGACTGAATGAGAGGAATTTATTGCTCTTTGTAATAGCAGATTGCTATTACTCTGTAAACAAAAGGTCGTGACACGATGTTCAAAGGGTTTTTGAAATAGAGTAAAACTTGCTGAATTAAACACTTTGACTACTATCAATATGTCTCTGAATAAGATTGTTTTGCAATAGTTTCTTAAAGCTCTTCAAGTTGAGTAGTAGTAAAAATACAGTCCAGAAGTTTGGGTTAACCAATCCAATCTGTCCTTTACTTTTAACTAAATCTGACAGTAACTCCAGATCGTTAATCACAGCTATTTTCCTCCTTAGAGTCCCACTTTCCAAGGAAAATTCCACTGCAGAAATTGGAGTGATTTTTTACCAAGATTAAGCACGCTGTTACAAGATCTTTCCTTTCTTTTTTACTTCTGTCACAGCTTTGATTTAGCCATGCTAAGTCAAGGAAAGGGCTTCACTTCTAAGAACAGAAGAAACCAACTATTCTTCTCTCCTTTTTGCAAGCAGACTTTGATTCAGCAGAGACAAACTGAACAATTCACAGGGAGGCAACAGGAAACTTTTTGTTTTTGTTTTCCCTTGATGAATGAGATTTCTGGGCCCCTCCTAGTTAACTAAATACACTTTCAAAGTTTGTTGCTTTTAAGAGAAAGAGGCACGTCTTGCACTGGCAATTCGAACAGTTTATATTTTTACTGTGTAGACTCAGATTTGTATTGAGCATTCACTCCTGGCTTCAATATACTTCTGCTTCTATCACAGGAAATAAAATTGCTTCCAATCTTCACAGGAGTTCAGTTATAACAATACTTCCCTACTTATTGGGAGTCCAAAGTTACTGTCCTTTTAAAAGAGGGAGTCCGGATTAGCAATTTGGTGAAGAGAGAAGAGGGAAGAGGGAAGTGGGGGCGGCAGGGGGGAAGCAGTCTGCTTCACACCCTGGCTGCAAACTTCTGTAGACAGACTCACAGCTCCCAGTGCTCACCGCCCTGCAAGGATGGGATGAATCTCACCGTCTCACCGCACTGCAAGGATGATCATAGAGCCTCCGGTACTGGCGAGCCCCACCGCCTTACCTTCTACTTTGAGTCTTCCTCCTCGCATTTGTCTACAAGAAGTACACATTAAAAAACAACACGAACAATTATTGGCACGATCAAAATTAGGGAAAATATTTACTTCTCTGACTCACTGTAAGAAAAGAGGAGTGGTTTTGTACGTTAGAGAAACCATTCCAGCAAAACTGATTTATACTGATGAAGACGGAAGAGTATTAATGGTTGAAATAGTGGATAATAATACAAAAACGCTCTTGGTTGCAATTTATGCCCCGAATGATAAACAAGAAGAATTCTATAAAAAATTACACATGAAAATAATTGGACTTGATTATGTTAATATACTTATGATGGGAGATTTCAATGGAATTGTAGACAATAAACTGGACTATACAGCAAAAGCAACACAACAAAATAGGAAGACTCTCCCTAAATCCTTTTTTAAAATGACAGATGAATTAAACTTAAAAGATATATGGAGAGAAAGAAATGCTAAAATTCAACAATATACTTTTTATTCCAATAGACATTTATCATGGTCCAGAATAGATATGATTTGGACATCAACAGAATTATTATCCAATATTCAAGAAATAAATATTGAAACAAGTACATGGGCAGACCACAATCCAATGACAATTAAATGGAAAGGACAAAAAAGAAGATCTAGATGGACATTAAACAATACTATTTTAAAGGGAAAAAACTTTACACAATGGATGGAAAAAGAATTGGCCTTCTTCTTTAATGAAAATAAAAAAGAAGATACTTCAATACAGAATGTTTGGGATACAATGAAGGCATATGCAAGAGGATTAATAATAGACTATACAAAGAAAAAGAACATTAGGAAGAGGCAAATGATTAAAGCTCTAGAAGATGACCATAAAAAACTGGAAAAAGAATTACAGAAAACGCCACAGAAAAAAGATGTTAAACTCAAAATGGATATAATCAAACATAAAATGGATCAAGTAGAGAAAGAAGAACTGGCACAAAAAATTAGAAGTGCTAAACAGAACTATTTTGAAGATGCAAATAGGCCAGGTAGATGGTTAGCATATAAATTGAGAAAAGAGAAAGAATCAAGGAAAATATTACAGTTAATAGACGATCAAGGTCAAAATTGTTATGGTAATAAAGAGAAAAAGGCAATTATTCGAGATTTCTATGGACAATTATATAAACAGGAAGATCTTGATGAGGAAAAAATTAAACAGTATTTACAAAATGCTAACCTACCTAAGATATCTGATGAAACTGGGAAAATGTTAGAAAGTGCTATAACAATGATGGAACTAACCGAAGCACTTAACAGACAGAATAATGGAAAAGCACCAAGACCAGATGGTCTCCCGGCAGAATTTTATAAAACATTACAAGAATCGTTGAGCACTTCACTGTTAGAAGTCATGAATGAAGTTATGATAAACAAGAAAATACCTAAAACATGGTCAGAAGCTTATATTACACTTATCCCAAAAGAAGGGGTTGACCCATTACAAATTAAGAACTATAGACCTATTTCCTTATTGAATGCAGATTATAAAATCTTTGCTTCAATCTTGGCAGAGAGGCTTAAAAAATACTTAAATAACTTTATTCACCCTGATCAGAATGGATTTTTACCAAAGAGACAAATTAAAGACAATATGAGGGTAATCCTGGACACATTGGAATATTACGAGGCGCACCCTGAAAAACAAATGGCTTTGATATTCTTAGATGCCCAAAAGGCATTTGATAATGTGAATTGGAGATTTATGTTATTATTATTGGAACAGATGGGCTTTGCTAGAAAATTTATCCAAGCAATAGAAGCCATATATTATAAGCAAACGGCAAAAGTAATGATAGATGGAGAATTTACAGATTCTATTAATATTAAAAAAGGTACAAGACAAGGATGCCCATTATCTCCTTTGTTATTTATATTGACTTTCGAAGTGTTAAATAGAAATATGAGAGAGGATACAAACATAAAAGGAATGAAAGTTAAAAAGGAGGAATTTAAATTGCAAGCCTTTGCAGACGACTTGGTTTTTATTTTGGAAGATCCTCTAGAGACAGCTTTAAAACTATTGGAAAAGATAGAGATGTATGGTGAGATGGCTGGCTTGAAAATAAATAAAGACAAAACAAAGATTTTGACAAAGAACATGTTGTTAAGACAAAGAGAAGAGCTGGCAGACCTATTGAAAATTCAAGTTACGAACAAAGTTAAATATTTGGGGATATATTTGACGTCAAGATGTACTACACTGAAAGAGAATAACTATATTAAACTTAAACAGCAGATAGCATCTGATCTGAAAAAATGGGAAAACCTACAATTGTCATTGATAGGTAGAATTTCAACAATTAAGATGAATATTTTACCCAGAATTTTGTATTTGTTCCAAACAATACCAATTAGGTTAGGTAAGGATTACTTTGAAGAACTGAATAAAATTGTGTTGAAGTATATATGGCAAGGTAAGAAAGCGAGAATAAAATTAAAACTTTTACAGGATGCTAGAATTAGAGGAGGATTTGGCCTTCCTAATTGGGAGTTGTATTATCAAGCTGCAAACTTAATGTGGGCTAAAGAATGGATAACGTTAAGAAAGACCAGATTGTTGGCATTAGAAGGACATGATTTATTATTGGGTTGGCATGCTTTTTTATGGTATAAGGGAACTAAATCACAGGGTTATTTTAGAAGGCATTATATACGGGAATCGTTATGGTTGAATTGGGAGAAAATTAAGAAACAATGTTATTTGAAAATCCCAGTTTGGTTATCAACTATTGAAGCTTTTTCTTATCCTATAACCTATAAGAAGGAACAAACAGTTAGATATGGGGAATTACTAGATGAAAAGGGTGAACTTAAAACGATGCAAAATTTAGAAGAACAAGGCATAAAGATGAATTGGTTTTCATATGCGCAAATACATTCAAGGTATCTTAAAGATTCTAAAATGGAAGGATTCTATGATAAATTGACTGATTTAGATAGGATTTTGACAGGTACTGATGAAAAGTGATCAAAAAATTATATAATTATTTGTTGGAATTTAAATTAGAGGAAGAACAAGTTAAAGAAACAATGATTGCTTTGGGGAAGAATTTTGGATATGGGATTGATTTAGAGAAATGGCAAAAATTGTGGTCTCAAAATTATAAAATGACAATGTCAACAGCATATAAAGAAAATTTGTATAAGATGTTTTACAGGTGGCATTTTCCCCCGACAAGAATAGCAAGAATGTTCAAGAATAAATCTGAAAAGTGCTGGAAATGTCATCAGATACCTGGCTCATATTACCATATGTGGTGGACTTGTGAGGACGCTAGAAAATATTGGACTAGAATTCGCATATGGTTGGAAAAAATGACAAAGAAACATATAGATTTGAAACCAGAGATTTTTTTATTGGGAATCTTACCTGATACATATAATAAAAACTTAAAGTATTTGATTGTAAATGTATTAACAGCGGCTAGGATTGTATTTGCTAAAAATTGGAAGAATGAGAAAATACCATTAGAAGAAGTTATTAAGAAAATATTGGAATGTGCTGAAATGAGTAGATTGACATTTGAAATTAGAGAACAAGAAGATAAACAATTTTATGAAGTTTGGGATCTTTTTTATCAATTGTTAGATAATACAATATAATAATAAAATATTTAGAAACCTAGGAAATAATGAATATACATTTTTTTCTTTTTTCTTTTGGTTTTGATAATATTTTTATAATATTTTATTAAGATAGACTTGGTATGATTTTATGATTTGTTATAAAATAAATTAACTAAACTATAGTTATCTCGCTTAAGTATGAATTAGTAAAATTATAGTCAAATGATTGTTTAATAATGATATTAGGATATATAATTGCTGATTGATAATATGAGTTATTATGTAATATAATTATTATGATGACTATGAAATGGATGCACAAAAAGGAGTGGTAAACCAACCGATACACTGTCTGTAAATTTATGAAGGATGATGATGTTTTTATGTTATGTTTTATGTTTTATGTGTTTTTGTTTGTTGTTAAAATCAATAAAACTTTTACTTAAAAAAAAAAAAACAAGCTGCAAAAGTGATGGTAAATGGTGATATGACAGAAAATGTGAATATTAAGAAGGGTAGAAGACAAGGATGCCCCTTGTCGCCATTACTATTTGTTTTGACCTTGGAAGTATTAAACATAAATATTAGACAGGATAGGGAGATAAAGGGAATGGAAATAAAAAAGGAAGAGTATAAACTACAGGCATTTGCAGATGATCTAGTCTTTTTTTTAGAAGATCCACTGGAAACAGGACCTAAGCTGCTAGGGAAAATAGAAGAATATGGTGTAGTGGCAGGCTTGAAAATGAATAGAGAAAAAACTAAAATCTTAGTGAAGAATATCACAGATAAACAAAAAAAGGAATTAATAAAGAGATTGGATATTCAGATTACTAAGAAAATAAAATACTTAGGGATCCTGCTAACAGCTAGATGTGTAACGATTAAGGAAGATAATTATCAGAAATTACTGCAACAAATCACGATAGATCTGGAAAAGTGGAAAGGTTTGCAACTATCGCTAATGGGAAAGGTAGCGACAATCAAAATGAACATACTTCCAAGGTTACTATACTTATTCCAAACAGTCCCAATAAACCTGGGGGAAAAATATTTTGAGGATCTCAGTAAAATAATACTGAAATTTATCTGGCAAGGGAAAAAAGCAAGAATTAGCTTTAAAATGTTACAGGATGCAAGAACGAGAGGGGGTTTTGGACTACCTAATTGGGAACTATATTACCAAGCTGTGGCATTAACATGAATGAAAGAATGGATGGTATTAAGGAATACAAGATTGTTGACTGTGGAAGAGCATGATTTACAACTGGGTTGGCATGCATTTTTATGGTATGGGAAAAATAAGATACATGGTTATTTTCAGAGACACTATATAAGAAATGCTCTACTGTTAATATGGGAGAAAACTAGAGAGCAGCACTATTTGAAAGTACCAGTTTGGCTTTCTACAATGGAAGCACTTAACCACCTGAATACTTTTAATATGGGAAATATTGTAAGATATAAGGATATTCTAAATGAAAGGGGTGAGCTTAAAACCAAACAAGAATTGAGCGAACAAGGGATTGATATTATTTGGTATTCATACTTGCAAATACAGCCGAGATATGAAAAAGATGTTAAAATTTATGGCTTATATAAAGAACTGACAGAATTGGATAAGATACTAACAGGAACAGAAGAAAGGTTGATAAAAAAAATTGTATAGTTACCTATTGGGTATTAAATTAGAAGAGGAACAAGTGAAGGAGACAATGATAGCATGGGCAAAGAATTTTGGCTATACTATAGCACTCGATGACTGGCAGAAACTATGGGATAGAAATTATAAGGTCAACCGCATACAAAGAGAAACTATACAAGATGTTTTATAGATGGCACTTTGTGCCAGCAAGGCTGGCAAAGATGTTTAAAGACAAATCAGTGAAATGTTGGAAATGCCATCAAACACCTGGCACATACTATCATATGTAGTGGACATGTAATGAAGCCAAGAAATATTGGACAAAAATATGTTCATGGCTGGAAAAGATGATACAACAGCATATTGATCTCAAACCAGAAATATTCCTGTTGGGGATCTTACCTGAAACTTACATTAAAGAAAATGTATATCTGATTATTCATGTGATAACTGCAGCAAGAATTGTATTTGCTCAAAATTGGAAAAGGGAACAGACTCCTACTGAAGCAAATGTGATCAGGAAAATATTAGAATGTGCAGAAATGAATAGATTAACACTTGCAATTAAAGAAAGAGAGCAAACTGAATATTATAAGGTATGGAAATTATTTTATCAATGGTTAGAGAAAAAATATGAAAGCTGGATATAGTTCATGGATTAGTTAAGAATGTTGAAGGATAGTAGATATTTTTAATAGAAGTAAATCAGCTAAGAAGAAACATAAAGATATAGTGATATTAAGTATAATAAGACAAGATTAGAGAACAGCACTATGTAATGAATATGACTGTAAACACCAACTGCATTGCACAAGATATTTGTATCCAAATGACACGTCGTCAAATGGAAGAAGATATGTAATAAAAATAATTTTTTTTTTAAAAAAAGAATACTATGTAATCAGTGAGTTAGCAAAAAAATAATAAAATTACAGACACACACACATTATGTGCTCCTGGCTACTTTTCTTCATGACCAGAGCCAAGCTCACTTGACCAATAACCAGCCAAGACACAGTAAAGGCCTTTTGTTTCATTTATTGCAACAAACAGAAGTTTATCCAAGCTTGGTTCTCTCCAAAGTTCCAACCCAAAATATTCCCTTCTTTATTATTCCCTTCTTTATATTAAAACTAGCTCGCTACACGTGCTTCGCTACGAAACTATGTGGTCGGACTTAATTTTGGGGAAGGAAAATAAGGGGAAAATTTTTTGCCTCTCTCTACCAGCATCCTTCGGTATTCATCTGGCTAGCATCTTGTCAGTGTGTGAGAGAGTTGAGGGCTGTTTGGAAACTGAAAGAGTATTTGTTGTGTGAGCAAGGAGACAGCAAGGAGTCTGGGCGTGGCTTAGCTCAACTGTTCTGTACTAAAGCTGCTTGGTGCTGTGCAACTAAAACTGAAACTGAAACTCCTCTCCTCTGCTTGTGTTTTGCATTTGGAACAGATTTCTTTTCAGGTGGGGAGGGGGAGTACAACTCCTTAGCATCAGAGCATGTTAATAATAATATACGAAGTAGTAATGCTCTGATGGTCATTTCGAAATATCATTTCTTAGCATATAGAAGCCAAGAGGAACATACGTGCCAAATTTCAAGTTTGTAGGCTTTACGGTTCTAGAGATTTTGTGATGATGTGTGAGTGGTATTTCGCTTTTATATATATAGATTCGGGGTGGGATTCAAATTTCTTAACAACCGGTTCTATGGGCGTGGCTTAATCTGTGGGTGTGGCTTGGTGGTCATGTGACTGGCTGGGTGTGGCTTGATGGCTGGCGTGGCTTGGTGGTCACATGATTGGCTGGGCGTGGCTTGGTGGTCATGTGACCAGGTGGGTGTGATCAACTCAACATCACTTCTTTGCCCTAATGACTGTTTTAAGTATAAAAAACATATACCAAAACAAAAGGTAGTTTATTATTTCATGCCTTTAACGCTTAAATAATAAAAAGGTACACAAAACTAGATTTTGTTACAACAAAGTTTTAAAATATTAATCAAAAACTATTACATAATACTTGACAAGAAACAATAAAACTGTTATTTAAAGTATTGCCAAATTCCTGTTTTATTGGCATCCGCATTTTTCTTTAGTTTCACATGAGCATCATCAGCTGTGTGATGTGCTCGCAACCATTTTTTTACTATAGGAACAGGGTCCCATTCTTGCAGAGGTAGGGCAATTAGATTAATAGTCAGTAGGTTAGTTACATTGCAAACTGTTAGGCGACTTCTGCTCTCTGAACATATTATGTTCATTTGTGTAAAACCCCTTTCCACTTCTGCTGAATTTACAGCAATTGTCCTGACAATATCTTTAGCTTTTTTAATACTGTCAGGAATTGCATATTTCTCTGAATCTTTTAACACATTTTCTATAAAATCTCGATAATTGTTGATATTAATTGCGTAATGAAAATTTTCACCAAATGCAACCTGTTGAGGTAATTCCCCGTTAGGAGAATGAGCGTATACAGGGAGACGTATTTGAGAGTAGTGTTTGAGTAATACACACACAGTACACAGATACACTGTACAGTAAATGTAGGTTTTTACTTCCAGAAAGTTTAAACAAAGTTCAAAATAGGCAGTCCAAAGTCATTCACAGGTAAGATCAGTCAGTTTTTAGTCCAGGGATAATCCAATAACAAAGTCCAGTGTCAAAAACAGTTCAGTATCAGACTTACATCAAATCCAGTAATATCAGTCAATTAGAAGAAATGGAGGAACGGCAATACTTTCCAACAGAAGGAAACAGAGATACACTCACACTCTCTTCTGAGACTAAGGCTAAACAACCCAGGTTTCTGGCTCCATCTTATGGCCGTTTGAGAAACCACACCTAATTACAGTTTTGCATTTTCTTAAAGATACAGTTTTAAAATATTTATCCTGGTTTATATATTTCTAACCCAAATACCTGTTAGGTTACTTACATTCCTAACATTCTCCCCTTTTGGGTAAGACAATATATACAACCTTACATTCTAAGTCCATAATCTTCACAACAAGCTTTATGTTTTATAGAGCCTTGGGCCTTTGTAAAATGATCTGCTATATTGTTTTCTGACATACAGTATTCTAGCTTAATCATCTTACTTTGCACACATTGTCTCCCATTTAATTATCTTAAATCTGTGTGTTTCGTTCTTGTTATAACAGCAATATTCTGTATTGCTGATTGGTTATCTTCGTAAACAATAATAGAATCTGTTACATCAATTCCCATGCCAATTTGTAGTTGCTTATACAAAACTAAATCTGTACATAGTAAAGACAAACATGAGAATTCAGCCTCCATTGTTGACAAACTTAGATGTTTCTGTCTAATAGACCTCCATCCAATCAATGCTTTTCCCAATAATACAGCAGTACCCGATGTAGATTTTCGTGTATTTTTGTCTGTAGCAAAACTTGCATCAGCATATGCAGTTAAACTCAGTTCACCTTTAGGCTCCAAATACAATGCATAATGCATTGTTTGTTTCAGATATCTTTTTTTTTTTTTGAGACAAATTTTATTAATTTTAAAGACAAACAAAACATCATTAAACATTGAACACATAAAACCTCTTTCCATTATAAATTTTTACAAGGCAGATAAGACATTATTTTATACAACATAATTCTAATTTATCCCATTTCCATATGGACACATAAATATCTTTTAGCAAATTTCTCATTATTTCTCTTTACTCTTATTCAATTACATTTCTTTTCTATATTTATTCATTTTATAGTCATCATATTCATATTTCCCTCTGACTTGTTTACAATTATTCTCATCTGACATTCCTCCAAGGTTTTATTAATTCTCAAACAAACATAAACACACAAAACACAAAAACATAAAACTTTTTAGAAAGTGGCTTGGCCCCGGATTACCTCTCTTTATACGGACTTCAATTAAATTCATGCTCATCTTATATACCATTACCTATCTTATTTACCATTCTATATCTTCTATATAACTTCTCCCCGCTTTTCACTCTTCTTAATTCTATTTTATTTATTTCACCTTAGTTTAAATCATTATAGTTGTATCTTTTGTCCATTCTTTTCCAATTATCCATTTATCTCATTTCCCTATAATAATAAAAAAAAAAGATTTCTCCTGAAATCACTAATCGAAGTATGATGCCTTTCTATTGTTCCCCTAAATTGACATTTAAAATAACACCTAGTTCCCAATCTGATTCTGCTTAGTACATTCTACCTACTAAATTTTAAGAAAAAGAGAAAATAGTAAATCTATAAAATAATTAAGTACATAATTAAATATTAAATCTTGTAACATTCCAATTATCTATTTCAAAGACAAATGCTGCAATAATAAGTTTATAATAACATCAACACAATAGTCAATTAAACTCTATAATTGAACTAAATATTTTAAACATTCCCTTTAATATTTTATTAAATCTTAAAATCTATCATTATTAAGCATTTTAATATTTTAATCTTTTTTTAGATCTTATAACATTCTAATTTTCTATTTCTAATACAAATACTACAATACTATCTTATGTACCTTGCAGAATCTTTTTTTTTTAAATTATACATTACCCTTTATCCCTAAATTTTTTTTGCTTTTTCCCATCTTGTTTCATACCTTTGTGGCTTTTTCCCCCCTTTTCCCTTCCTTTCTTATCCCACCTGGCCTGTTAACCCCCCCCCCCCCCAACCTCTGCCTTTTTAGCTTCCCCTCTCTGTTGTATTCCTCTTTTCTTTTGCTTTCTAACATTGTATTGATTTTGCATCTTATTTTTCTCTTTCTTGGGTGTTTTTTTAGGTCTTAAGTCCTTCATTTTCCTTCCTCTCTTTCTCCTTTCTTTCTTAATCAAACTTTTGGATTCATTAAAGATGGCTTCTTCTTCTTCTTCTTCTTCTTCTTCTTCTTCTTCTTCTTCTTCTTCCTCTTCTAGTTGTTGTGTTTGCTGATAAATAGCAAGCGCCATTTCTAAAAAGTGAAAGGCTTCTTCCAAAGCGTCCTTGCCTTCTTTCTTTGTTTTTTCATATTCCTTTCTTAGTTCATCAACAGATAAAGCCATTATAAACCTTTTCTTCTTTTTTCTTTTTCCCTCTTCTTCTTCTTAAAACAACCAAGATATTTCAAAGCTTAAAACAGTTCCCCAAAGTCCCAGAGTCATCAAGCAGTCCAAACAGAGCACAAAGTTCTTCCCTTTACACTTTCTCTTCCTGGGGTAATATCAATTAAAAAAAAAAAACCAGTCTGTATTTTAAAGCCTTATTGCAATTAACTTCTAGTCTCAAAATCTTCCAGGCATCTCCTCCAACAAGATCTTAATATAATTTTTTTTGTCCTCTCCCTTCCCACTTGTAACAAAAAGCTTTAAATTTTTACCTTCTATAAAAAAGCAGGTTTTTCCATGTCCATTTGTTAACTCCGTAGGGAAGGAGAGTAAACTTTCTCTTTCAGCACTTCCATTCGCCGCTTTAAAAATCTCCTCTGGAAACAAAGTATCATTCAAAAAATCAAAGTTTTCAGGATGTTAGATGTATCTTAAGATCCCGGTTCAGCCAAAGAACTTTCACTTCAAAACTTTCTCCTTCTTCCTCCAGCACTATCTTGTCCAGCTGCCGGCTTCTTTGTGGCGGCCATTACTGACCGCCGCTCTACCGCCTTGAGAAAAGGGGGTTTTGCCGGTTGGGGAGGGGGTCTGCGATACCCCCAAACCCCTATCCAGATCCCCCCTATCTTCGGCTGCCTCTACGGGGCAGCCTTATCCTCCAGACCCGTCGGGATCGGAGGCACCAAGACGGCTAGCGCAACAGGGATCGCGCAGGATCACGAATCCCTGCCGCCGCCGAAGCCTGGCAAACCAGAAGATGTGTGTTTCGTTCTTGTTATAACAGCAATATTCTGTATTGCTGATTGGTTATCTTCGTAAACAATAATAGAATCTGTTACATCAATTCCCATGCCAATTTGTAGTTGCTTATACAAAACTAAATCTGTACATAGTAAAGACAAACATGAGAATTCAGCCTCCATTGTTGACAAACTTAGATGTTTCTGTCTAATAGACCTCCATCCAATCAATGCTTTTCCCAATAATACAGCAGTACCCGATGTAGATTTTCGTGTATTTTTGTCTGTAGCAAAACTTGCATCAGCATATGCAGTTAAACTCAGTTCATCTTTAGGCTCCAAATACAATGCATAATGCATTGTTTGTTTCAGATACCTTAACACACATTTAACAGCTTGCCAGTGACTTTCATTTGGCTCAGCGTTAAATCTCGCTAATTGATTAACACAGTATGCAATATCTGGCCTTGACCAATTACTGAGATAAGATAAACTACCAATCAAGGACTGATAAATGTTCTTATCAAAAATAGGACTTTGAACATCACTATGGCTAAACTCCTGGCTCATTGGTGTTTTAGCTGGCTTACAAAGTTCCATTTTAAAACTTTTTAGTAATTGCTTAATTTTATCTGCCTGTGAGATCTTGTATCCTCCCCTACTTTTATCTATCTTTAAACCAAGATAATGTTTGATTTCTCCTAACTGTTTTACTTTAAATTTCTTCTCTAATAGTGAACTTATTTTAGTAGCTTCTTGTTCAGTTTTGGTGATTAATGCTATATCATCAGTAAATAATAGCAATAATGACATTACACCATTAGTTTCCTTTTCAAACAAACATGGATCAGCCATGCCAGCTACAAAACCTATCTTAGTTAATTCTTTAACTATACATTGTTTCCACTCATATCCCGATTGCTTTAAGCCATAAAGACTCTTTTTCAATTTCCAGCAATCAGTTGTATTATCATCTTTGATACCTAAAGGTTTCTTTAAATATATAGTGTGTTGCAATGGTGCATGCAGATAAGCTGTCTCTACATCCAAATGATTTATAATATATTTCTCCTTAGCTGCCCACACTAATGCTGCTCTTAATGTAGTAGCCTTCAGACTAGATGCAAACACCTCATCATAGTCATTTGCTGTCTGATTAAACCCTTGTGCTACTAACCTGGCTTTATGGGAAACAGTCCCATCTACACATGTCTTTAGTTTATATATCCATTTACATCCTATGGCATGTTTACCTGGTGGTAACTTAACATTTTCGTATACCTCCAGTCTTTTTAATGATTCCAGTTCCTTATCCATTGCTTTCTGCCAAGCAGCCTGATCCTTAGCAGGATACAGTTTTAGTTCATTATAGTTACTTGGAACTGTATTCACTTGGCATACAACACTAGCCTGATATCTATCAGGTGGTCGTGTTACTCGGGTTGAACAACTTGGTAATACAGGGCTAACTTTCCTGTGCCACCTGCTCCTGTTCTTCTACTTCCTCCTGTGTCTGTTCTGCTACTTCCTCCTGTTCTTCCTCTTTAATGGCTATTTGGGGTTTACTGATTTTATCTTTAGGGACTATTTGGGTGTCAATAATAATATCATTGCTGGATTCCTGTTCCAGTTTATCCCATCCAACGTGCTCAAGAAATTTTGCACTAGCACCACAATCAACATGAGCTGTGCCTTGATCCCAGAATTTAAATGATCTATGGTTGGCTTCATAACCTACAAAAAATAAAGTCTTTCATGAGGAAGTCCCACAAATTGATGATTTTGTACAAAATTTATATTTTTGAAGGTTTCTGAAGTAATTAATGCATCAACCTTTTTTTCATATGCACCCTTTTCCTTTCTAAGCATTTCAAATGATTTAATTGATCTTATCACAAGTTTTTCAGCCTTTATGAAGTCCACATTTCTTGCTTGCAGTGCATTAGAAAGAAGAGAAATTTAATTTAGAATATCAATCATCAATGCCAAATCAGTGATAAAATATGTATTTTCAAGATGGGCAGCCATACCTGAGTATTTTTTATTTGAACGAAAAAACTGATGTAGCACTGGATAAGCACACCACACAGTTAGGGTTGACATTAGACTACAGGCAGCCCATCTTGGTCCAAAAACCCTACCAATCTTTATAATTTCAATCTCAAGTTCTTCGGATATTTTGTTAAGTTCAATTAGGTTCTTATTGGATTAATGAAAATAGAATATATCTTATCAATAAATACTTTTAAATGATTTACTTGCTTTATTTCCCTAATAGAATCATCTAAAACAAGTTGGAGACAATGGTTTAAGCAGTGCCGTATTATGATGTTTGGAAAGTCTTTTGCTATCCTAGTGCTTACCCCAGACTTTTTCCCAAGCAAAGCACTGGCACCATCAGAGCAAAATCCTATTAAATTTTTCTCTAGATAGTTCTTAGTAAACCCAACATTATTTAAACTTTCCATAACTAAAGAACACATTGTCTCTGCAGCTTGTTATTCCAATTCAACTAGCTCAAGGAAAATTGTTGGTGAGAAAACTGTATCCTCATTTTTTAAGTAAATTATAAGAACTGGTTTGGAAGATATCGTTAAGGCTTCGTCAATAATCAAACATATTTTGTGAGTTTTTTCAATAATTTTAGTAAATAATGTCTTTTGCAATGAAATCTATTATTTTAACTGCAGTTTTATGTGAATGCAATCCTATTCCCAGATCTAATCCATTTTTAATTTGCAATTCTATCTCATCTTCTATATCTGAAATTGGTTTGCACCTTTGTGCCAGACTGTACACTGTATTAAACACTCTACAAGTACTACCTAAATTTTGTTTCCAACCCTTTGCTGTGTGAACACTTTTTTCTTTTGTTGTAATCTCAAATTTTTTGCAATATTTGCAACCTAACTTTTTCTGGGAAACTTCCAGTCCATCATATTTCTCCTTAAAATTGGTGTACTGCTGCAATGTCCAGCAGTCAGGAAGATTCCTTTCAATGTCCGACTCAGTTCTTTCAGTAGTTGATGTGCTGCTTTCCCCAGGTTGGAGTGGTTGTGGTTGTGACTCTTTTGGATCTCCTTTTGTTTTCTTACTGAAGAAAGCAGCCAAACTCATTTGCCTTTTCATCCTGGTAAGGTACTTCAAAAAAATAAAATAAAATAATAAAATAATGTTGTGGTTTGGACTCGATTGTTGTTGTAAGTTGAGTGGTGAAGGCTGGCAAGCGAAGAAAGTGGGCGAGGAGCGGAGATCAGTAATATTCACTTACTTTTAAGAGTCTCTGA